TGGCAACTGAAGCTCCCAGCCTCTCCTTTTTTTTTTATTCTGGGATTTATTTACCTTCTATAATTGAAACTTTGTTGCCGCTCCAGCTCCAAGGCCACGGCCTGCTGAAAGCAGGTATCTGGGGTTTGTTTAGCTTCTATAATTGCAACTTTGTTGCTTAGAGTGGAGCTCAGAGCCCGGCTGCTGCAGGGAGGAAGCTTGGCTTCCTCCATCACTGGAGCAAGCAAGCCTCCTGCTCGCTTCAGCTGCTTGGCTGCTGGCCGCCATCTTTGTTGGTGGTTAATTTGCATATCCCGCTGATTAGCCAATGGGAAGCGTAGCGGAGGTACAGTTAATTTCAATCTTTATTATTAGATAGGACTAGAGGCTCGGTGCACGAAATTCATGAACGAGGAGCGGGGGTTTCCTCAGCCTGGCCTGCATCCTCTCACAATCCGGGACCACTGGCTCCTAACCGCTTGCCTGCCTGATCGCCCCTAACCACTCTACCTGCCTTCCTCATTGCCCCTAACCCCTCTCCCTGCCTGCCTGATCGCCCCTAACCACTCTGCATGCCTGCCTCATCACTCCTGACCACTCTGCCTGCCTGCCTCATCACCCTAACCACTCACCTGCCTGCCTCATCGCCCCTACCTCTCTGCCTGCCTTCCTGATCGCCCCTAACCCCTCTGCCTGCCTGCGTGATCACCCCTAACCACTCGCCTGCCTGCTTGATCGTCCCTAACCACTCACCTGCCTGCCTGATCACCCCTAACTGCTTGCCTGCCTGATCGCCCCTAACTGCCTCTGCCTTGGCCCCTACTGCCGCGGTTTCATCAGGAAGGACGTCTGGAAGGTCATTAGGCTGTCCGGTCTAATTAGCATATTACGCTTTTATTATTATAGATAACTGAATTGTTTATTTACAGTGGTTAAATTTTATAGGATGTATCTTATAAAAATAATATGTATGTATATAATGAGCAAATGACAATGTAAACACAAAATAATTAGGGAATCTGAGGGGACAGAATTCTTTGTACTGTTTCCTCTTTTCTACAACTTATAATTAATTCAAAGTTCAAAATTATTGAAATTTAAATGGTCTTAGAAATGGTCTAATTTCCTTTTGTATTGTTTTTAAAAAATGTTAAAAAAACATTTGTTTTAAAAAACTCAGTTCTAAAGTGGGTTTTTAAAAAAATCAGTTTGTTTATTCTTTACTTCTTTGATTTGCTAATTGCTTTGACCAGATAATCTGCATTTGCTTTCTCTCCCCACTTCCTACCCCCACACAGTGCAAACTTGGCCAGCAGGCCTAGTGTTCAAGTGAACCCTTCCTGCTTCATATAAGTATTTGGTCTATGCTAGTGAGCATTCATACCTGTGGAAAGACATTCTGAAGATATTTCTGTTTCCCTCATCTGTGCAGTAAAATGTGCCAATATTATAAGCAAAGCACTTT